ATAGAATTAAACATAAAGATAATAAGTAACTGGTATAAATTGCATGGCAGAGCTAGGCGGTCTTATTACAAACTCCACTAATTTAGTGATTTATAAGGCCACGACATCTATGTAATAATTTTCACAGAGTGATTGCTGAGCAAAGAAGAAATACTACAACAATTGTCTTTTAAAGTGGCATTAGGAATGTGTAACTTAATAAATGAAACTTTTTCCTGACATGTATTTATTATCAAAAATATGCTCCAGCTACAGATTTAGACTAGGTCTATAGCAGTCATAGATTGTATTTTATGTATTAAATTTTTAGCCTATTTATTTATTTTTTATTTCTACTTTACTTAATCTACTTCATGTCATCCCGTAAGAATGTGTCAAAGAAATAGCATTCAGAAATATCAATTTATGTTAAACTACTCATATGTTCAATGTGGATGCAAATTTATTTTATTGACCTATGTCTTTCATAGTCTAGAAAAGTACCTATCAATTCAGCATGTCTGTTTTATTTTCCTTATAGAGGAATAGTGTATATAAAAGATAAATGTTGTATTATGTTGAATTTTAAAAACAATGTAGCCCTCAGATGTAGGTTCGGGTGGAAGAGATCTCATGGAAGAGAATAAGAGCCGTTGCTAACAGGGAGGATTTGTGATCCTTTTTGTAATAATTACATTAGATACAGACCAAGCCGCACAGTATAGAATGTAAAGCCACCACACGTACTTCCATCTGCAGTAATGTCACACGTTTCCATGGCCCTGTCTATGCCAAAGTACATCTCTTCTACAGAAGAATCTAAAATCAACTTCATGTACTTTTATTTTAATAGCTCATGTGGGGTAGCCTTAAAGTATACGACAATATAAAGTAAGAGAAAATAGATGGGCTTTGAATGGCGGGATCATATGAGCATATCTACGGCATGCCGGTTTCGGTGAAGATATCTCTTTATAATATAAAATGTTCAATTTACTAAGGAATTTGAAACTTCTGGTAAAATGAAATGTGGCATGTTATCGTGTAATCCGGCAGTGGTATTTTACAGATGACTACATTCCTTATGCCTCAAAACTGAGTATATTAGGAAAGTTTTACTTATTTATAGTTTATTACTTCATTTTATTTTTGATGAGTTCATTTTAACATATTTTAAGCAGAATCAAATATATATTTATATATATTTTAATCTCTGTTAGGGCAGAGATTTCTGTAATATTTTTACAAAAAATCTATAATGTTTTCCCTAACATGCCAATTTTAAAGAATTTGATGACTAAATTGTAATATGTATTTATACATGTTTATGTATATATAATGCATTTACATACAATATGTATATATGTTATATATATTTAATATTTAAAATATATGTATTATATAATTAATTTTTGAACTAAAGAATTAAAATGTTCAATTATAGGTGTTACCTCATACTTATTTCACTGGTAATTTTCCTTGAATTTTGTCATATCAAGTTACTTTACCTTTGACCCAGATACTGCTTTTCTGGAAGACGGAATTTAGTGAAAATGTATTAATGCGTAATGAGTCCAAAAGTGGTAGTAAGGTGTCAGCAGATATCCATCATGGTGAGGAGTTAATATCTGTATCTGCATTACATTCTAATTGATGGCTCTGTCTGATGTTTGAAAAGCGTTAAATTGCCCATGTGCATGTGATGGAATGCCTATTGTCAGGCTAAAGATGAAAACTCTGCCTCAGCTGTGCAGTTGGTTTTTAAATGATTTATAGAGAAATGACTTTGAATGTTTGTATTAGAGGTCAGAATTAGAGCTCTCACATTTCCGTAGTCACTCCTGTGTGCCAACTCTTTCTTTAGCATAAACCATACCCTACGATTCAATTAGAAAAATATCTTTAGAGAGAGAGACTCTAATTCATTAAGGTGGGAGGAAAAACTCTAGAGAATGGCATTGGGACAGTATCAGAGTAAATTAATCAATAAAGCATAAGCTGAACAGTTGAAGAAGTATCATAACATCATATAAAAATAGTAGCAATTTATTGATGTTTAAGCCAAAGAATTGATTAGTGTTAGAAAATTTTGGCTTATAATGCACATTGACATAAATTTGTTTCTGAGGTATTTCACATTAGCGTACCACCAGTTTTTTCATCATATTTCTTAAGAAAACAAATCATTTAATGTGTAAGTACCCAAACATCCCTTTTATTCAAAGTTGGGCCTCAGTTTCCTCTTCTGTGATGTGGAAGAGTTGGGACCCTGAAGCTTAGAGGTTCTTTATTCTACTTTCAGATTTCTTCTGTCCTCTTGTATTTTTTCTTAACCATTTTCTTTAAACCAAGTGGGAATCAGTTTCTTCTTTTTCTCAGTTAATCAGCCTATCTGAATATTCATTAATTTCATCTGTTACTCCATTTCTGTTCTCGTCTTAACATGCCCAAAAAGAGAATTCAAATGCTGCATTTTGTTGAATCATTTTGGAAACCAGGCCATGCTAGAAGTGAGAGCAGGAGGGAAGGAGGCAGGTCGAGAAACAAACAAACAAATAAACAAACAAAAAACGTATGCAGAGCCATTCCTGATGTTGTTCTCATAGAAACTAAATAACATCTACATAACATTTAGTATATCATTTCCTAATTTTTATATGTTAGTCTCCATGTATAGGCTAAATTAAAAAAAAAAAACCCAACGACTATACTACATGTACATGTGTGAATATTTTGCAACCTGCTCCCCCTCAGCACAATATCTTGCAGAATTATGTAATTTCCTCTGTATTATTGAAGTCATTTTATTTCTTCTAATAATCTGTACAAGTTCTGTGTCCTCTAACATGAGAAATCTCTCTTCTAACTCATATAATCTCTCTTCCACCCCTCAGTGTAGGTTTCAGGTTCACTGTCTCAGCTCACCCTGATGGTGACATGATGAGGGTGGATTATCAGGACCATTTCACGCATGAAGACCCTGGGTTGGAGGGAAGTTAATTGTTTGGTTAATGTCATCTTTTCCTAGCTTTTTCTTAGCATCTTTGGCCCATGTTCTCAGCCATAACACAGTCTAGATCAGAGGTTCTCAACCTCCCTAATGCTGTGGCTCATTAATGCAGGTCCTGTGGGTTGCGACCCACGGGTTGAGACTTGCAGCTCTAGATCTTTCAAACGAGCCATCTTCTTCTCTCTGGCTGTTGATGAATTTCCCTCTGCTGGGTACCTCGTCTCTTCACAAAGGCAACTCAGAGATCACTTTCTTGAATACTCATTTTCCATATTTTCTGGTAATTACCTCTGAATTTTTTTGATGCTTTGTGCATTTTATGTGACTTCCTTGTTTGTTTATGTATTTATGTTTTCTGATTGAATTGTTCCCTACTTGGGGAAGAGCGAACCCTCAATCTGTGTCTTCATCGCCTAGCCCAGGGCCTGACGCTAGTGGCTTATCTTTATTGAGTCAACTGTGGGTGAAAATCAATCCTAGAGCATTACGATTAGGTAGCATATGGAAATTTAGTCAGAATTATAATTTTTATTTGGAAGAATTTAATAGAGGCTGTGTATAATCATAAATCTGTGCATAATGCCACTCACTTGCATGAAGTCCTTGTTTGTGTATTTTTCGTTAGAATTTACTTGTCAACCATCATCCCTAAGGCGATTAACTAATTAATCAATTAGCAGTTGAGCTCTGTTCTTTACCCACCACAGTGGGACACAAAAACTCATAAAACACAGTGAGGGACCTTAGAGTCCAAAGGGGTGACAAATCTAATACACAGAAAGTTTACATGTAAATACTCTTCATCTGCTACCATAATTCACCAGTGTGTTACTAAATACAGACTTAAGACCACCTGCAGCTAATTAGCCCAGTTATCCTGATACCACTCTGCAGGACACAGCAAGCGTCATCCAAACTGTGTGGGGGAGATGGGCTTCCATCTGCCGCTCCTGTGGCAAGGTTCTGAAGCCCAACTCTCCCAGGCTGGCAAAAGGCTTACCTCTCTGGATGAATGCCATCTCAGACTTTTATTTAAAGTTCATTGAGCCAGGCCAATTCCTTAGAACAGCTTTTTTAAATTTTTATTTTATTTTTAAAGACAGTTTTGCTCTGTCACCAAGGCTGTAGCATGATCATAGCTCCCTGTAGTCTTGAACTCTAGGGCCCAAGAGATCTTCTCAGCCACTGGGGCAGCTAGGACTGCAGGTACACACCACTACACCCAGTTAATTTTTTAAAAACGTTTTTAAAAAACATTTTTATTAAAATGAGTTCTCACTGTGTTGTGTGTTGTGAAGCACGGTCTTCAACTCCCAGCTTAGGCCATCCTCTTGCCTCAGCCTCTTATAACGCTGGATTTACTGAGGGACATTTTGAGCTACTCTGGTAACTGAAAATTTTCCAACACTTAGTAATTTATATCTGTGGCATAACAAATTTGGCTTCTTTTATTTTTTTAAGTAGGTTTGATATTTCATTTCCTTATTCTGCCTATTTTTATCTTAAATTTGAGTTCTAAAATTAATGTTGGCAGTGTAATCATCCTAAGGTCTTTCATTCTTTTTCCCCTTAATATACCAAATCACAGCTTTCTTGCTTTTGCCTTTAATTGTTTTAAAGTATTTTTGCAAATGTGTAAATTTAATTTTGCCTTCATTGTAATAGATTATTATCCAATGCAATTAAATATTTTGTGGTTTTTCTTATTCTCCTGAGCTTCAGAGATTAATGGGGTGTGGGGGTGTCTGTTGTAATTTTATGTTTTCTCACAGCTTTTTCACCAAATGCCTTTTGCTTTTAGTTTTTGTCTTCCTTTCCTATCAATGTAAAATAATAGGATTAAATAATTTAAAATATATGACATTCTATAGGCAGAATGTATTTCCCCTGATTGTAATTGCTAAAATCTGATGGACACACATCTGGTTTCCTTGCCTTTTTTTTTTTTTTAAACCTTGTGAGGTTTCTTAATTGCTTATTTTAAGAAAATGTATTTATCTTATTTTCACAGGTAAAAAGATGGCCTATCACAAGGTCAGTGCAGACCAAAGAGCTCCGGGCCACTCACAGTTCTTAGACAATGATGACCTGCAGGGTACTGCCCTTGACTTGGAGTGGGACATGGAGAAGGAACTGGAAGAGCCTGGTTTTGAGCAGTTCCAGATGGACAGCACTGAGAATCAGAACCTGGGGCACTCGGAGACAGCAGACCTCAATCTTGATTCCATTCAACCAGCAATTTCACCCAAAGGAAGGTTCCAGCGACTTCAAGAAGAGTCTGACTACATCGCTCATTATGCAAGACCTGCACCAAAGAGTGGCCACTGCAACTTTTGCCACCTTTTAAAAATACTTTGCACAACCACTATTTTATTTATTTTGGGGATTGTGATAGGTTATTATGCACGGAAGAATTGCCCTTCATCTGTGACACCTTCAGGAACAGTTAATCCTCAGTTATACCAAGAAATTCTCAAGACAATCCAAGCAGAAGACATTAAGAAGTCTTTCAGGTAAGGGTGGAAGGAATGGATGTTGGTTGGATGCATTTCTTGGGAAAGACGTGTCATAAGGGATATTGAAGTGGTGGTGATTTTACCATGGTTTAAATCATTTTGAGAGCTAAGAAACATAATTTTCTCGAACACCAAGAATAGAAACTTCAAAGAGGGGGTACATAATTTAAGATTTATGGTACTGCAATACAATTTATGATGTAGTTTTATTAATTAATAGTAAAAAGTAAACGACTATGGTCAGTGCATTTTCTCCCACTTGGGAAGTCCAGTTAGGCCAAATTGAGATATAAACATTGATAGATTCACATGTAGTAAAAGCTAGGGCATTAGCCATATGATGGAAAAATTTAATGATGTCAGAATGGAATAAACCTGCTTTATGAGCTGAAGTAACTGTCCTTGGTT